AAACCTGGGGGGCAGTGGAAATCTAAGAACAATGAGGAATTATGCAGATGAAGATTTGGTTCCTCCCTGGCATCTCTCACAGGTGTGGTTTTGTCCTGGAGATTGCAGCATCCGGGGGGATCACTGAGGTCTCAGTTGTGACCAGAGGCCAAAATGCAATTATGTCTAGAATGTCCTAGCTGGGCTGTAGGCAGGATAACTAGGCCTACTCAAGTGATTTTTCCCTAGAATTATGTAGCATTGCTCCCAACATGAGGCCCTGCATCTTCCGGATGTTCTCTCTCTCCACACTCTTCACCATGGAGTCTACCACCTCCTGCACCCGGAACTGCTGCAGCTCCACCATAGCAACCCCCTGAAGCTTTTTAATAAGTTGAAATCCCAGTTGTTGATTCTTTCTGCTAGTTCCCGTGCTATTGAGGTTTTATTCATAAAGTCTTTTCCTATGCCAATATCTTTAAGCGTTTACCTAACTTATCTTCCAGCAAGTTTAGTGTTTCTGTCTTAATATTTAGATCTTTAATCCACTTCAATCTTAGTTTAGTGCATGGTAATAGGTATGGGTCTAGTTTTAATCTCTGACAGGTTGAAATCCAGTTTTTCCAACACCGTTTATTAAATAGGCTATCTTTCCTCCAAAGAGGGTGGTTGGCTCCTTTGTCAAAGATGAGGTGACTGAGTATGTCTGAAGTTGTTTCTGTATCTTCTAATCTATTCTACTGATCCTCGGTTCTGTTTCTTTGCCAGTACCATGCTGTTTTTATCACAGTAGCTTTGCAGTATAGCTTCAAGTTGGGTATCGTGATACCCCCAGCCATGTCTCTGTTGCCTAGAATTACTTTTGCTATTCTAGGTCGCTTCTGATTCCAAATGAATTTTTGGATTGTTTTCTCTAGTTCTGTGATGTATATTGTTGGAATTTCAATCGGCATTGCATTAAATCTATATAGCAGTTTTGGAAGTATGGCCATTTTCACTATATTGGTTCTTCCTACCCAGGAACAAGGGATGTCTTTCCATTTTCTTATATCCTCCTTGATCTCCTTTTTCAGGGTGCTGTAGTTTTCATACATTCCTGTAATTTCAACACTCAGGCCCAATACTCTGCCTCAGGCTGAGGCAGGAGAATCATTGGAAATTTGAGGCCAGTCTGGTCTACATAGTGTATTCAAGGCCAATCTGGACTACACAGTGAGACTGTCTCAAACAAACAAACAAACAAAAAGAAGAAAAACCCAAGCAAATGAAAATAAATAAAATTCCTGTAACATCCTTATAGATATATGCTCTTCTTTGTGCACATTTTCCAAGTTTGGGAGCTGTCTCAGAGGGGTACTGACTGGCTCATTGTCACCCAGCTGGCTAGTGGAATAGCTGGTATTTGAATGCAGGATTATTCTGTCCATCTTTATAGCATTTGCTTGTGTTTACAGAGGGGAAAACTTTTGAAATTGATTTATTAGCTAACAGCATAGGGTTCTCTTCAGGAAAAATAATTGCCATTTTTCTGGTTCAGCCTCAGTACAGCCTCCAGGTTCAAACCTGTGGCAGGACAGGTTTCAGAAGTTTACCCATTTCTATTAGATAAGGATTCAGAGCCTGGTCTGCAAGAAAAGATTCTCAGCATGAGGGGGAAGTTTTTAAAAATCATATATTCTAATCAGATGAAAATAGAACTTGGGGCAATTTATGGAACTTTCTGGATAAGGACGAATTTAGCTAATGTCATCATTCATGTATTCTCAGCAATTTCCTGAAGATTTCCTCTCCCTACAACTTTTTTAAAAGAGAGGCTTGTGAGACACTCATTATAGACAAGTGCATTTATTTTGCCATTTACAGTATTCAAAAACTACTTCTATGTCTCCAAGAACTTCTTTGGGGGACTTTGCAAAAATATTGTGTTAATTCAGTATTCTCAAGGGCTTGTGCATTTTTGTGGCTGAAACCTGCAGTGGTTACATCATGAAAAATTTGATTAATGCAGCTTACTAGTTTTCCCCTTATACAACATTTCCTTTTGGAATGAATTTCAGAAGTGTACGTCAAGTGCATTAATTTGTGTCTGTTTGTGCCTTAACACATGGAAACTTAATTGTGAGTCCAGCTTATTTACTATTTAGTGCAAATTTAGAAAGTGTAAAATGTTGCTAAGGAAATATAGATAGGTTTGTTGTTTATTATTTTGTTCAATAAAAATGTTTTATTCTTCTACAATACACAAGGAATTTACTACACACCGCTGGCATGTCAAGATAATTGTAGAGTCTAGAAGTTACCAAACATAAATTAAAATTACTTAAATTTTTCTTCCTCTGGTCAAATTTCTGAATATGTTTACACAAGGGAAGTATAGAAACACATATAACTCTAAACTAGCTATTCAAGTTGTGTTCATTATTCACAGTCCAGAGACCACCAAAAGGAACAAAAATATTTTTAGAGTGAGTTTATCTTCCATATGCGACTAGGCTATGTCCTCCTGGCTAGAATTTTTGGTATATAGCATGGTTTCATGATTTTAAAACTTAGAATAAAAATTGACCTAGAAGATCTCTAACTAGAAAGGGTTACAGGTATGAGAGAGAAGAAGAATGTCTAGAAGACTCTGGGAAAGAGTTTGATTCTTTTCAGTTTGCTTCCCCCCTACGCCTGCTGCCCTTCTCTTTTCAGACCAGTCTGCCAACATGGAGGTCCTGCTGACTCTGCTCCCCATGTTGTCTTCTTTCCCCCTCCTGGAATGTACATGTCCAGAGCTGAGCGAGTTCAGTTTCTTTTAAAAGAAGCAGTCAGGGCCGGGGATTTAGCTCAGTGGTGCCGCTGCCTGCTTTGCAAGCACAAGGTCTGAAGTTCAATCCCCGGTATCTTCTCCTCCTTCCTTTTGTTGAGGGGCAGATACCAGAGATAGAACTCACAACCTTGCGCTTGTGAGGCAGGCACAGTGCCACTGAGCTAAATCCCCAGCCCCCTATCTGTGCTTCTTTCTAGACCTCTTTCTTTCCATTTGAACGTGTCACCTTCTGTAACATCTTCACCCAAGCATCATATCCAAAAAAAGTAGTGTTCTTTGTTGCAGCAACCTCTATCCCTGAATACACTAAATACTTTGCATAACTGTATTTTGCTTTGAATCTTTTTATGTATTTCATAGCATCTGCATTTACATTTCAGGTGTTGTCTCTGTTCAGTGTTAACTTTAGTTATTCCTATAATTGCATAAGAAAGAGCACACTTAATCTTGACTAATACAATGCTTCTAATTTCCATTGGTCTGCACAGTTCTGCTTCTGGATTTTCAGTTTCTTTTAATATACCAGATCTTTTCACAATGTAAAACAAAAACAAGTCTATTTCCTTGGCCTCTTTCAGGGTGTCACACACAAGGAAGTGTTTGATAAATGTTTGTGAGCACCTGAATTTGAAAGTCCAATCCCAGGGGCTGGAGAGCAGCCCTTTTCTATCTCTAGACGAGACAGGACAGGCCACTGGCTTGAATGGCAAGAGAAGATTTAGGTTAGATATAAAGAACAGCTTAATCTTTATAAGGTCGTGACAGAAGGAGATTGTGGAGTCTTCCTTGAAGGAGGAAGAAATTGATTTTGACAGATAGCTTCAGCTACTCCATTCCCAAATATGGCTGGAGAAGCAAGTATTGACATTCAGTTTGGTGGGTAAGCTCAGTGACTATACCACTGGAAGTGCAATTGGAGTTCATGATTGGATAGTAAAATCATTGTTCCTATAAAATAAATAGGAATCAGGGATCAAACTCAGGACCTTGTGCTTGCCAGGTAGATGCTGGCATCACTGAGCTAAACCTCCGCCCCATAAATAGCAATCATTTATAGAGTACAAAGCACTTTCTATTCATCTCCTCTACATTCTACAATAATCCTTTGAGGTAGATATTATTATCCCCATTTGGAAAATAAGGGAACTGAGACATAGTGGCATAAAATAACTTGCCCAAATTCACACAGTTAGAGGTGGTAGACATGAGCATGAAACCCTGCTCTCCTCTGAACCCAAAGATTGTGCTCCTTGCTCTAACTTTTGTTGAGAGATCAAGTATCAGTGACGATGACAGTGGGCAACCCTGGATCCATGGAGAGTCTTCGCCATTACAATCTGTAGGTTCAGAAATCAGAAAAACAACTTAGGCCAACTAAACTGAATTCACCTGTTTACTTGACTTGGGTTGTGATTTTCTGTACAGAAATTCATGAAATGTTTATTGACTGAGTCTCGAAACCTAAGTAACTGCTTATAAGCTATGGACCACAGCCCAGTGCAAATCATTACTAAAACTTCTTGAATTGTATCAGGATACAAGACCTATAATTTGCTGTGTACCAATGTGTAGACATCATTTTCCAAGCATTTTGTTATGTGTTTTAAATGCAAGATTCAGTGAGTTATTGCTTATTTCAAGGAGGTTTAAGCAGCATTAGTTTGTGGCTTCTAGAAGATTCTTGAATCTGTTGGATGAAGTAATATGGAATTTTTGGTTTTCTTCTCTGTGGAAACACTTCCACTTACTGCAGGACTTAAGTCAGATTCATAAAGTTGGCTGAATAAATTCTATGTATTAACTTTTATTTATTCTGGATTCTTTTGTGTCATGTTATATGTGTGCCTATTCTGGCTTTTGTGTATTTGTTTAGGGGCAAGTTAAATTATATAAGAGCACTATAGAGGCTTAATTGCATGGGGAACACTTGAATGTATGAAATGAAACAAAAGGTTAAATAGGGCTGGGGATGTATCACAGTGGCGCCAAGCCTGCCTGGCAAGCGCAAGGTCTTGAGTTTGATCCCTGGTGGGGGTGGGTGTTAAATAAATGACAAAGACTTTGCTTGGGTGGCTTGATGAATTAAACAAAATAAATCTCTACCCCAATAACTGAAAAATATAATCATCAAATAAACACTCAAGAAACACTTAGAGCTAAAAAGAGAATACACTAATAATCACCTTCTTGCTTTTGAAAATATTGACAGTGGCCCTGGAAAGGATTTGGAGCATTAAAAAGAATCTCCCTGTAGGATGCTTAAAGCCAGGACTACCAAGCAGAAACAGTTTACTGCCACAAGCCAAGTACTATTCGAGGCACGGAGGACTGAGAAGTAAGACCCTGATGCCCTTGACTTCCACGGACGCCCCTGAGGGTACTGTGCAGTTTACAAACCAGTGGTATATGCTTTATTTAAAGATCACAATCAAAAGTCAACCCCCCCTTCTTTCTTTCAAGTCACTTTTTGTTTAACCACATTACGTCACTGTGGAAGTCAAACAGATAACCGAAGTGTTCCCAGAACACAGACACGATACCAGACTTACATTGCTGACTTTTCTCTTTCCTTCTTATCCATAAAAGACTTTCTAGCTCACAGCCAGCCTGTGGGGGGAATCTTGAACTTTCCTTTCTTTTAGATGGATGATCTTTGTTTACAGTGAAATGAAAAAAGGAGATGAGGGAATTTAGAACAAGCAAGTGCCTTGCTTGGCTCCCTTGTTTCACCTGGACCCAATGTACTGCTCCTCAACAGATATATATCTTGGAACGAAGTATTGCTCATTGCTCATTGCTCATTTCTCATTGTCATAGCCAGTTTCTGCCAGGGTCATTTGTAGTAAGATATATGGGAGGCAGAGGTCTAGACATGGAAGCATGGTATCCAAATAACGTAGGGACATGCAACTGGGTACATGAGCCCCCCAAATCTCTCTACTATCAGTGATAATACTGAGTAAAAGAAATGAATAAAAGCTAAGTATGCATACTTTCAACCAAGATATGAATCATAATGGCAAACATTGGATAGTACTGCTTATTATAGATTCTTTATACAGCAATATTTAATATTCTATTTAATTTTTACAATCATATGAAATAACTATAATTTATTTTATAGTTAAAGAAAACAAGGTACAGAGAGGCTGAATAATTTAGACAACACCACTCAACTAGTAAGTAGAAGAATGGCGATTTGAACCAAGACAGCCTGTCCCTAGAGCCCATGGTTTCAACCATGAAGCACTGTTGCACCCCTGAGCTAAACAGCACCTGGAATCTGGGCTGTCTATTGAACCTTAATGAGATGAGAGCACTGCAAAAGTGACTGTAAGGATAAGGCCAGGGATGGACCTATAGGATGTGGGCTCAGGGGCAGGAAAATATAGCCACTGAGAAACAAAGTTAAAAACAAAAACAAAACATATTATTAAGGGGACTTTGTGTAGCAAACAGGAACCAGTTATAGAGACCTGGATTTAATAATAATAAAGTAGTAGACCCCATTTACCATGTGACAAGAATGGCAGTAAATGTTTTATAGTTCTGTAACGCATATGAACACATGAGATGAGGATTATAATCTCTATTTTCCAAGTAAGAGAACTGAGGCATAGAGATACTACATTATCCAAGATCCCATGTCTAGTAGGTAATAAAGCCAAAACTGCAAACCTTTGTCCATCTGGCTTCCAAAACTATGTTCTTAACCACTCGGCAGCCGGAGAATCTAATCACTGGGCAATAAGAATGGAGCCATTTGGAAGGTTGTGATTAAATAGGCACAAATGTCAGTGCTCTGGGGGGTGTGGTGGGAAATTAGGGTTGGGAACCTAGGAGGCAACTGTACTCATACTCCCCAAAGATCTCATTGTCCTGGAGTAATGGTTGATACAACCCAAACCTGGGCTACTTTCCTACTGGGGGGCTGTTTATCTCGACTTTCCTCTCATTTTGTGAGGTCCCTTTTTTAGTGAGGTCCCTTTTTTACAACCATCATTCTGAGAAAACTCACAAAACAATTTATCTAAAGATGGATAGTTTCCTAAATTCAAATTATAAGACTAATTGAAGAATAAATTACCTTTATTGGAAGACATAAAAGTCCAGTAAACTATCCAGTTCATTAGTTGGGATCATCCGATAAAAAATAAGTTTGATTTTTTTTTATTGCCTTCATCCATACAATCTAGGAAAGACTTGTTCCTGGCTCCCACTTATTGCTAACCCATCCAGACTACATTCCTAGCAGCCCCAGTACTCTGTTCATACCCCCATGCAAAGCTCTTATGGTGATCATCTTACAATATATAAGTGTTACTGACTTAGCTTCATTTCTGTAAGTTACCAGGTGCATTTTTGCCATTTGATATCAAGTTCTGCTATATAATCACAACTGGTCAATTTATATGAATCAGACTGATGACTAATTATTATCAATGAAAAAAGAAAGATACTATGCACAAAATATATGAGATGAGAAAAATACACAGATAATTTTTTTAAATTGTCCACAGGAATTCATACACTATCAAAAGCTCCATGAAGACAGGGACCATGTCTCTTCCTCATCATTGTTTTCCTGGCACTTAGCACGGTCCCTGGCACAGTAGATGCTCAGTTCCATTCATCATGAAGAACCAGTGAATAAATGGACCGGAAAGTATTTGGTGAATGCCTGCTTTATGGTCAGGATCTTTTTGCTGATAACCCATACACATTTTCCCCTCCCCAAAAGTAGTTTTCTCACCTATGAAACAGGATATAAACAATGGTGAAGAACAAGTGATCTTATTGTATTTAGTGTATAAGTTATTAAAAGTTGCATATATTTTATATACATATTGGCATGTTGGAACTAACATTTTTAAGAGAGATTTTCTGTGGATTACAATATTTCCAGGAACTTCTCCCATACAGTAACTCTCAGCTAGATAATTTCATTGAAACACTTGCTTACATATTCTTTTTTTCTTTTTTTTTTACTCTAGGATAAGATGAACAGAATATGTCATTGAGAAGGAACCTCTTTCTCCTAGTGTGTGAAGAACACCGAAGAAACTTGTTTCTCAATTTCAGATGTGTGGGGGGAAAAGTATATTAGTCTGTAAAATCTACTTATAAATTACCCAAAGTAAGAAAGATTGTTGGTAAAGTTTTCTCAGTACCCAAAAATAATGAAGGAAAATACTGTACCTACCTTTAGTTGTCCCAGTTGGAATAAACTGAGCTTCTAATTCAGCCTATTTTATTAAACACGTGAAACGATGATGAAGCAGAGACACATGAGTCTTTTCTTCAAGGTGGACATTATAAATCTTAACCCTTTACCACAGTATAATGTGCTAATCTATTTAAGAACAGAAATAAATACAGATATAGATAATGGTTAGTAAATGACAAAAATGAAAAATCTAACAGAGATGATCATTTTTATACCAGCTCACCATTTCACTAGACTTTGTTTACCAAATAGAAAGGAGACAGAAACTTTATGAAGATATGTTTATCACAATTTAATAATATTTTTAGATTAAAAAGATAATAAAAAGAATAAAATAACCCCCTTACTTTTCAAAGTATTACATATGCAATATAGAAAAATTGGAAATATGAATGCAAAAACCCCTCATTTATAATTTTATTTCCAGAAACAACCATGATAGCATGTAGATATATATTTATTTTTTCTATGCATGTTTTACTTTACTTGTTTAAAATCATATTGCATAATGTATATATTTATTATCCCTTTTAATATAACATGCCATTTATTAATTACATAAAAATTCTTTATATATTTATACTAAATTTTCCTTTGCTATATTTTCTGGATATTTGAATTTTCCCAATTTTTCATCTAATATATCCTTTGTGATTCATTCCTACCCCTGCCCTCTAAACACATACTTAAGAAGTTCTTTTGTTTAGCCAGGCACAGTCGTGCATACCTGTAATCACAGCTACTCTGGAGGCTGAGGCAGGAAGATTGCAAGTTTGAGCCCAATGAACATGGCGACTTAAAGACCCTGTTTGGAAATCAAAAGAAAAGGACTGGAGTGTAACTCAGTGGAGCTCACAAGTGCACATACACAAAAAAGAAAAGAAAAAATATTTCTTCTAGTATTCTGATCACACATTTTTAATCTCTTTCCTCTGTAGGATAAATTCATCTTAAAACCTTGCCATTCTCAAGTTCATTACTGTTTGTAATGTAATAAGTCAAGTATGGTCAACAAAGATTTGTTGACGAGGTATGTCCTGCCTCTACTTAAAAATATTTACACTGTGAAACAGTCAATAATCTCTTGAGTCAAGCTTCAAACTTTTCCAAGCTTAATATAAAAATTTCCATTTGGTTAATGAACACTGGATGAGCTTCTACACATAGGACAGTTCCACCCGCCACCATGTTTATGGAACTCTTTCATCACTGACTACTTCAAAAACAGTGTTGCAGGCCGATAGCTAAAACTGAGGGGTTACATCTTCAATTAATTGCGAAATATAACATCAAAACTACCTTGAGTTAGGAAAAAAAGGTCTAAAATCTTTAGCTTCTAAAAATTCTCACCATTGGCCTTTTCACATGTGTATTAGGATGCTACACAAAAAGTGCAATGGGTGAGGAGCACTGACTTTCATCCATCCATTTGAAATGATGTCCTGTTTCTATTTGGGCTCCCAGTGTGACCTTGTAAACATGCTCAGGGATTTTCTTTCTCACTTCCACTTTACCTTTGCTAATAAATACGCTCCCGCCCTCTTCCCTGTTTATTTTGAACCTTGCTGCCTGGGCTGACTGCTCTGAATCATCCCTTTCTGACCAGCCTGTAAGACTAACAAGGACTGAGCTCATGGTGCTGTGCCCCTGCTAGTGTTTCTGTCCTTATTCTATTCTGGGTCTCTGGCTCATTTTGCAGTTCATTACTGTTCTTCATTGCCTTGTTGCATATTTTCTCAAGAGGATATATGTATAGGGTTTGTTGTCCCAGCATTATTATAATAGTGAATTAAAAGCCACCCAAATGCCCAATGTAGGGGATGATTTAAAAAATCATAGTATGATGAAAGTGTTTTGTTTTGTGTTTTAATTCAATCAACTTTTAAATTTCAAAAACCAGAATTACAAGGGTATTTCTTTAAAACGTTAAAAATATAGCAATCCTAAACCAAAAACCATTTTCATACACAATGACGAAATATATTAAAAGGCTTCTGAGAACAAAAATGCTGTTTTTTCTAAAAGTGTTTGCAACTTGTTCACTTTCACTTTTCATGGTGTATACCTCCTGACTCTGGACCCTAAGAGTTACCTCAGTTCCTGCCAGAGATAATTACTTGCAGGTATTGGAGAGATTGGTGTCATAAGGGTATATGCCTGATTGCTTAATTGGCCAAATAGCCATGGCAAAAGCATCTGTGAGCCACACAGATTGAAGATTAAAAGTAGAAAAAAATGGGAAAACCATTTCCTTACAGTTGCACCAGGTAGAAAAATTTTTTCTAAAACAGCTTTTTAGTCTTATTTTTAAGACTGATTTATCTTACTGTCACACCCTTTGTCTCATAACTAAAATATTTATAGAAAGGGAAATTATATGAGGAAGTTTTTGGTTTTGTTTTAATAAAAATACATATTACACATATTTTATAGTCCACATTTTTCACTCAGCCATACATTATGACCTTTTGCCTATGTAATGTATGCTTGTCTAAATCATCAAATTTTAATGGATATTTCCACCTTTTCCTATCCATACAACAAAAAGGAAACCCTTTAGATTTTCCTCATATGTTTATATTCTGGAAGGAATAAGCCAGGAGGACTTTAAATGAAAATAGGGTAATCAAGAGTCAACATTGTCCATTTTAAGAACTCCAACCTCCTTAGTTCCCAGAATGTTCCAGCCACATTTATACTCCTGTCTAGAGACACACACACACACACACACACACACACATTGCAGAGACAGAGAGAGAGAGAGAGAGATCGGGATATTAGAGAGTAACATGGAGGACAGCATACTAAGTGAAATAAGCCCTGTCATAGAAAGACAAAAGCTGCCTGATTCAACTTATATTAAGAATTTAAAATAGCTGACTAAACACATAGAAACAGACAGAGGGATGGCAGTCACCAGGGGCTCTGAGGCAGCACTAAGAAAGGAGAGTTGCTAATCAATAGGTCCAAAATGTCTATTATCCAGGATGTATATATTCTAGATATCTGTTGAGCTCTGTGCCTAATAATAGCAATTTTGTATTGTACACTTAAAAATGTCTTTCAAGGGTAAATCTCATGTTAAGGCTTCTTACTATAATAAAATAAAATGTTAAAGTAAGAGATTAAAATCTGATTAAACTTCTGGTTACATGAACAGGGCTTGTTAATTAACTGTGGTTTTCCATATTAGTGGTATATTTTGCAAATGAGAGACTCCTTAGTAATACAGTTGCCTTTAGTTTTATCTGGCTTAATTATATGCTTGCAGTACATGTGTGTGGGCTAAACAGCTTCCTTCTAGTTTATAATTCCACATTTCATCTCCATAAATAAAGCAAAGAAAGTAGAAACTAGTGGACATTCATGTCTACCTCCCTCCTACAACTGAAACTTGCTTCCTTTGAGAAACCTTACCCAACAAATGGTAAAGGAAGATGAGAAGGTTGCAAAGATAAGGTGCCTAAAAGACACTTGCTCTGACAACGACACTTGATCAATACAGAAGTAACAAAAGATAAAGTGGCAAGGCAATGTCCCATCAAAAGGCGGGCGGGACAGGTTACTGAAGGGTAAACACATTGACAGCTTTTGACTTGATGTCAGCCTTTGAACTCAGGCCTGCGATTGTTCTGCAGCTGTTATTTAATTGCATATGATGATATGATAGCTGGCGAGTCCTGCAGGGTGGCGATCTTCATCTCTTTGCTTAGTTATTCCATGTGCCTAGCATTTAACTGGCAAAATTTATAGCTTTTGCAGGTTGTAAAACCAAACAACAGCTGACCCTAGCATAGTTCTGCAAATATTAATATAGAACAAGTCTCAGTGCTGCTTAGCTGGGAAGCACTTTAGAAATAGCTCTGCAACCCTGATAATGACAAAGGAGTCATGCTGTAATATATAAAAGTGAAGAAAATCTGAAGAATTTTACCTTGTAAAGGAACACAACAAATTCTGAGATCATCATATCAAATCTTAGCTACTAACAGTCCCCAGCAGTATTTCTCAAACTATTAATTGGGAAATGGGACCCAGGAGAGCTTTTCCCAGAAGAGTTTTGCCCTCTTCTAGGGGAAGAACAGCTATTTACTGGTGTAAACGAGCAATGGTGGGTTTTCCAAATGGGTGGTCACACTGCACCTACATCTTTCACAGAAGAGTCACTGCTATTTCCCTGCTGCCTTGGATGACCTAAGAAATTCAGTCTGAACAGTGAGCTCACTCAAGAAAGAGACTTTATTTTTATGTGATACTCAATGGTGCTGGCCAGGACAGAAGTAGTTCTTGCGATGTGGTTAGACAGCTAAGGCAATGTTTCTCTCTTCCTCTCTCCCTCCTCTTTGCCTCTCCTTCTCCCTCTCCTTCTAGCTTTTCTCTCTCCTTCTTCCTCTCTTTCTTACAAAAACTAATAGTGTGTTAAATTGCACTAAGCAACAAAGATTATATATATACCAAAGGTTCTTTTTGGAGGGATTGAAAATAATTGTATATCCAGCATTATTAATGTGATTTCACCCTTGTATATTGTTCAAGTCTTCTGGGCTGTGGTTTATTTGGCCACAGAAAACTGAACCTGGGACTACAAAATTTGGCTGTCCCACTACTTTGGATTTTTTTATCCTTGTCATACAAGGAGCATGCACTTACCCTTTCATTTTTGTACTTACCAACAATCATTTATATGTCCTTAATTTTGTTCACTTTTATCCAACAAGTATGTCTTCATATTTCAGGTGTCCCAGTCCCTTTCTAGAGGAGAGATCACAGGAAGAAGTGTGATGGAACCCAGTCAGACTCACTGTTCAGTTCTGATTGAATGCTTGAGAGGAATTTACTACTCAAGGCAGAGAATTACCTGACTTGTAGGGAAAACATATCTTCTTCTCCATTTTTTTTCTTGAAGTGTGCCCTAATCTATGTGAGGTGAGGTCAGAGAGAGGGAGGGAAAGGATAACTGAGAGCCAGTCTTCCAGATGCAGAGAACTGGGCCAGCTCTCTGCTAGGTTGGTTTGAGTTCAGTATAGCCAAGCTCTGATGTAGGGAA